GCAGTACCTTCACTCACTTACTGACACCACTGCCACCCTCATCTAATGACTGATAAAGACCAAACTTGGCACACAGAGCCCCCATGACCCACTCTATATCCTGCTGCTGTTTGTAGGAGGATGGCCCATGGATGATGGGACTTCAAGTACCTTCACTCACTTCCTGAAAATAATGCAGCCGTTATCCAAAGACCAATAAAGACCAAACTTGGCATACAGAACCGCCATTACCCACTTTCTCTAATAACCCGGGCAACGCCGGGTCCCCAAGCTAGTAAATAAATAAATAAAAGCCAATTGCTATAGGCCCAGCGTGCGACAGCACAATGAGTAATGGTTTGTGTTGGACCGATATTGCAAGAGATCATTGAATATCCATGCAAACTTACAGAAACCTATGGGGTGGCTTCGAGTGACCCTTAGCGTTGGAAACTTGGAAGGACGGACCCAGGCGCATCGAGTTAAAACGCAATTTATTTATTCCTTAAATAAATGTTCCATACGTCATCTCGCATTTGGCACAGCAAAACGAAACCAAAAACAAGGGGGGTGGGGAAAGGGGGCAGAGACGTCATACACGCAAAAGGACATATAACAGAAAGAGCCTCCAGTGAATCAGGACAATATTTGATGCACGGCACAGATCCAGTATTGCCAGGGACAGATATACGGAAACGAATGCAGATGTGGAGCTGGGATCAAGGCCCTTTCGGACAACACAATTGTAGGGCAGTAAGTATTATGGGATTTGCAGTTTAAGAAGGAGCATGAATGAAACATTCTCAGCCGGAGAGCCTTAGTGCCACAACAAAACTACAAATCTCAGGATTCCATAGGACACAACCATGACAACTGACATGACCCTTATTGTGTAATGTGAATTCTTTCTTTCATAGTGACCAAGCAGACAAAAACAGCATTAGTTCAAAACGGGTGGATTTATGTATCACAGTACATATATTCTTGAAATAATAATAATAATAATAATTTGTTGTTGGTGGTGGTTATTGTCATTATTATTATTGTTGTTATGGGTTGCTGTGTGTTTTCCAGGCTGTATGGCCATGTTTCCAACAGACCTCACAACTTCTGAGGATGCCTGCCATAGATGTGGGCGAAATGTCAGGAGAGAATGCTTCTGGAACATGACCAGACAGTTCGGAAAACTCACAGCAACCCAGTGATTCGGGCCATAAAAGTCTTCGACAACACAATTGGTTTGAAGGAGGAGGATGAATACTGGGTTGTTGTAGGTTTTCGGGCTATATGGCCATGTTCTAGAGGCATTTTCTCCTGACATTTCGCCTGCATCTATGGTAAGCATCCTCAGAGGTAGTGAGAGAGTAAACAATCAGGCACAGGCATCTAATCACCTCTCAACAAAAGATTCCCCCAGGCACTGCCAAGCCATCAAATGCTAATCAAGGTGGTCAGTTGAAACATTCACACCTAGCTCCAGCAGACAAGAGTCCTTTGTCCCACCCTGGTCATTCCACAGATATATAAACCCATTTTCCTACTTCCAACAGACCTCACTACCTCTGAGGATGCTTGCCATAGATGCAGGCGAAACGTCAGGAGAGAATGCCTCTAGACCATGGCCATATAGTCCGGAAAAACCTACAACAACACAATATTATTATGCTTCCTAGGCCATGAACCAGGTTTCCAACACAAAGCAAAAAAATAGGGATACAGATCTCCCTTGGAGTCTCACCATCTCCATAAAGATGGAGTCTTGGATGTGAAATGCATATGGCCAGCAACGATGTGGAATTCAGACTAATCCAGAAGGGATTTCATGATTTTTAAAAAAACTTGTCTCAGATTGAAAGATAGATACTAGGCATGTGCAATCCATGGTTCTAAATGGTTCTAAAGCACTTACAAAACGAAAATTCTGGTGGTGAACACTAGAGGGCGCTGGTTCACTAAAGTCCTGGTGGTGAAAATTTCAGAACTCCAACAAAACTTTGAAAATGTCATTATTATTTCATTATTGATGATTTTTTATGACAGAACCAATTAGGAACTGCCATTTAGAATGAAATGTTGAAAGTTTTGTTAGAGTGGCAGAGATGAATGGATTTTCTTCTATCGTACTTGCGCAGCGTCGCCCTTAATGCTTTCATACAGTCGCTGCATAAGGCAGAGACGTGGTCACTGCCATTTTTGAGCTCCCCCACCATATGCGGCAACCACAGATTCTCCAATCCGGATTGGAAGTTTCAGCACCCGCTCTAAAAGATGACGACCGGTATGTAAGACTACTCCCGCGTATAAGACGACCCCCGCATATAAGACGACCCCTGACTTTTGAGAAGATTTTCTTGGGTTAAAAAGTAGTCTTATACGCCAGAAAATACGGTACATTAAAATTTTCAATTTTAATCTTGAGCTAGCTCAAACTTCTATAAAAAGGAGGATAAACCCTGTTAAAATAGCTCATAGCTTTGATTCTGAAGTCATTGTATTGACATCCTGTACATTTCAAGACCCACCTCATTAGCCTCCTTCATCTTCTCCCTTCTCACCACCACCTCTTCCTCTTGGCTCCAAAGCAAGCCTCACCTCCGTTGCTCCCGTCTTTTCCTCCTAAAATGGCGGCGGGGTAAGGCTGAGTGATGTTACCACCTCCCTCCAGAGAAGCAGAGGAGGCCTCTAGAAAGCGAAGGGGACGGGAAAAGGTTAGCGGTGTCTCGGTTTCTATGACCATTGGAAATACAAGTTTTCCGATGGTCTTAGGCGACCCTGTGAACGGGTGGTTCGACCCCCAAAGGGGTCGCGACCCACAGGTTGAGAACCGCCAATCTAGTCTAGGCTGAAAACAGGAGGGAAAAATAATTTTAATGGGCATTTTGAATTGCACGGAATACAATTGGGATAGAAAAGCAATAATGATAACCATTTAGAAAACAAAAACACTTGAGTACAGGGGAAGGAGAAAATATCCTCCAATCATGGGAAGACAAGGAGCAAAAGTCTCCAGCCACCTTAAAAATGGGGAAATGTGCCACATAGTAGTCAAAAAAGGACAAAATGTATGCAAAGTGGGGGCTCCAAGGGGCTGCGAATGCCCTCTCACCTCTCTACCTAATGCAATTTGGGAGGAAAATACAGAAATACTCAGTTCTTGTGGGTTTTTTCGGGCTATATGGCCATGTTCTAGAGGCATTTCTCCTGACGTTTCGCCTGCATCTATGGCAAGCTTCCTCAGAGGTGAGGTCTGCTGGAAACTGGGAAAAAAGGGGTTTATATATCTGTGGCCCTTATTTCTCATGCCAGGAAGGTAATGCTCAAGATCCTGCAAGGAAGACTCCAGTAATACATGGAGCGAGAGTTGCCAGATGTTCAAGCTGGGTTTAGAAAAGGCAGAGGAACGAGAGACCAGATTGCCAATATCCGCTGGATAATGGAGAAAGGCAGGGAGTTTCAGAAAAACATCTATTTTTGCTTCATTGACTACTCTAAAGCCTTTGACTGCGTGGATCATAATAAACTGTGGCACGTTCTTGGTGGGATGGGCATCCCAAGCCCCCTTCCCTCTCTCCTGAGGAATCTGTACAAGGACCAAGTAGCAACAGTCAGAACTGACCACGGAACAACAGACTGGTTCAAGATTGGGAAAGGCGTACGGCAAGGCTGCATACTTTCACCCAACCTTTTTAACTTGTATGCAGAACACATCATGCGATGTGCGGGGCTGGATGAATGCAAAGCTGGGGTGAAAATTGCTGGAAGAAACATTAACAACCTCAGATATACAGATGACACCACTCTGATGGCCGAAAGCGAGGAGGAGCTGAGGAGCCTTCTAATCAAGGTGAAAGAAGAAAGCGCAAAAGCCAGGTTGCAGCTAAACATCAAAAAAACCAAGATTATGGCAACAAGAATGATTGACAACTGGGAAATAGAGGGAGAAAATGTGGAGGCCGTGACAGACTTTGTATTTCTAGGCCGACAGGGAGCTCTGGCGTGGACTGGTCCATGAGGTCACGAAGAGTCTGAGACGACTGAACGAATGAACAACAACAACGTATCTGTGGAATGACCAGGGTGAGACAGAGGGCTTTTGTAAGTTGGGCTAGGTGTGAATCTTTCAGCTGACCGCCTTGATTAGCATACAATGGGCTGATTGTGCCTGGAGCAAACTCTTCTTGAAAGGTGATTAGATGTCCCTGCCTGTTTTTCTCTCTGCTGTTTTTGCTGCTGCAATTTTAGAATTTTTTAATACTGGTAACCAGATTTTGTTCATTTTCATGGTCTCTTCCTTTCTGTTGAAATTGTCCACATGCTTGTGATTTCAATGGCTTCTCTGTGTAGTCTGACATGGTGGTTGTTGGTGTGGTCCAGCATTTCTGTGTTCTCAAATAATATGCTGTGTCCTGGCTGGTTCATCAGGTGCTCTGCTATGGCTGACTTCTCTGGTTGAAGTAGTCTGCAGTGCCTTTCATGTTCCTTGATTCGTGTTTGGGCAATGCTGCGTTTGGTGGTTCCTATGTAGACTTGTCCACAGCTGCATGGTACACGGTAGACTCCTGCAGAAGTGAGAGGATCCCTCTTGTCCTTTGCTGAACGTAGCCTTTGTTGGATTTTCTTGGTGGGTTTGTAGATTGTTTGTATGTTACATACCACCATGTCAGACTACACAGAGAAGCCATTGAAACCCACAAACATGTGGACAATTTCAACAGAAAGGAAGAAACCATGAAAATGAACAAAATCTGGCTACCAGTATTAAAAAATTCTAAAATTGCAACAGCAAAAACAGCAGAGAGAAAAACAGGCAGGGACATCTAATCACCTTTCAAGAAGAGTTTGCTCCAGGCACAGTCAGCCCATTGTATGCTAATCAAGGTGGTCAGTTGAAAGATTCACACCTAGCCCAACTTACAAAAGCCCTTGGTCTCACCCTGGTCATTCCACAGATATATAAACCCCCTTTTTTCCCAATTCCAACAGACCTCACTACCTCTGAGGATGCTTGCCATAGATGCAGGCGAAACATCAGGAGAAATGCCTCTAGAACATGGCCATATAGCCCGAAAAAAACCCACAAGAACTGAGTGATTCCAGCCATGAAAGCCTTCGACAATACATTAATACAGAAATAGCCCGCAACATCTAAAGCAGGGGTCCTCAAACTTCTTAAACAGAGGGCCAGGTCACAGTCCCTCAAACTGTTGGAGGGCCGGATTATAATTTGGAAAAAAAAATGAATAAATTCCTATGTACACTGCACTGTGCACATATCTTATTTGTTGTGCAAAAAACACTTAAAAACAATAAAATCATTAAAATGAAGAACAATTTTAGCCAATATAAATTTATTAGTATTTCAATGGGAAGTGTGGGCCTGCTTTTGGCTGATGAAATAGGATTGTTGTTGTTGTTGTGTGCTTTCAAGTAGTTTCAGACTTAGGTTGACCCTGAGTGAGGGCCGAGTAAATGACCTTGGAGGGCCGTATCCGGCCCGCGGGCCTTAGTTTGAGGACCCCTGATCTAAAGGAAATGGATCTGGTGTGGTAAACAAAGCACCTTAACGTAAAGGGACTTACTCTTGTTCCGTACTAGCCTTTTGACCACTGGCTTCGTGAGCCAACATTGGCCAGCCTGGCATTAAAAACCTGACTGAACGGAAGAAATGGGGAGCCAAAGGAGTTTTCAAATAGGAGCGTGCAGGAAACAGCAAATACTTCTTTTCTCCTAAACTAAACCCATTGAGGAAACTGGATGCTCGTAAGTGATGCTGCGGCTGCTGCTAGAAGAGAAGGAAATATCCATCGAAAAGGCAAACTGATGCAAGGAAATGCTACTGCATTCTGCAAATTCAGAATAGGCCATCAGGTGTTAAGAGCCTGAGCTGGTTAATAGAAGCAGCAACAGCCAAGACGAGAAGATCGATCGAGGGAGAAAGCAAGGAAGCCCAACTGCTCTCCGGTGCTTCGTGAGCAAACCTGGGAGACGCTAGGAACGCAGACGCAAAGGGAAGGACAATGAAGTCCACATTTGGGCAAAAGGGGGGAAAGTGGGGCACACATACGAGCACGACGAGGCCCTGGCAAAGGAAGAGTCCATCCCAGCAAGGTGGACGATTTCCACAGCTTTTTTCTCGCTCCCGTCTTCTCCCCCTTTGATTCGAGAAAAGCTTTTGCGCCGAAGGAAGTGGTGTGAAATGGGATGAGACAGCAGTGCTAAATCCCATGCGGAACCGGGTTTACGTTACACAGGAGCGAGGACAGCCTTCTGAAAAACAGCACACACAAAGGACCTCCGCGATTCGAGATTCTTCTTTTTTCTTTGTTGTCTTCTTCTTTTGTTCCAGGTGAAGCTGCTCCCCCGTGGAAAAAAGGGGCTGGTTTCCCAGCGCACGAGCCTTGGCTCTTTTACGAGCCCCGGAAGGTGCTGGTCGCTGCCCCCGCGGCCGCGTTGGCTGCAGCCGTGCGCACTGCTTGGTTGGAGAATACGCCAGCCGCAAACTCCTCCTGAGCTTTCTGGAAGCTGGCGCCGGTGCGACGGTAAAGAGAGTGGATCTGAAAAGGTGGGGGTAGGGGGGAGGAAAGAGAAAGATTGAAACATAGACTGGGAAGAGAGCACAAAGGCCACCCAGTCTACCCCAATTCTGCCTGGAGCAATGGACTTCATGTAAGTGTTTTCTACTTCATGGCGTGGCTAATCCTTTCTAGCTATACTGTGCCCTCTTGTGGTTGCATTTGAGCATTGCATACATACACACCAAATAGGTCAGTAGTTAGTCCTTCCTATCTATACTGCCCTCTTGTAGTTGCATTTGAGCATTGCATACATACACACCAATAGGCCAGTAGCTAATCCTTTCTATCTATACACTGCCCTCTTGTGGTTGCATCTGAGCATTGCATACATACACACCAATAGGCCAGTAGCTAATCCTTTCTATCTATACACTGCCCTCTTGTGGTTGCATCTGAGCACTGCATACATACATACGAACAGACCAGTAGCTAATCCTTTCTATCTATACACTGCCCTCTTGTGGTTGCATTTGAGCATTGCATACATACACACCAATAGGCCAGTTGTTAATCCTTTCTATCTATATACTGCCCTCTTATGGTTGCATCTGAGTGCACTGCATACATACATACTAATAAACAAATACCTAATCCTATCTATACACTGCCCTCTTGTGGTTGCATCTGAGCACTGCATACATACATACGAACAGACCAGTAGCTAATCCTTTCTATCTATACACTGCCCTCTTGTGGTTGCATTTGAGCATTGCATACATACACACCAATAGGCCAGTTGTTAATCCTTTCTATCTATATACTGCCCTCTTATGGTTGCATCTGAGTGCACTGCATACATAAAAGCCATTACGTTATCCTTTCTATATGCTGCCCTCTTGTGGCTGCATCTCAGCACTGCATACATACATACCTAAAAGCCATTACGTTATCCTTTCTATATGCTGCCCTCTTGTGGCTGCATCTGTTCACTGCATACATACATACCAGTAAGCCAGTAGCTAATCCTTTCTATCTATATACTGCCCTCTTGTAGTTGCATTTGAGCACTGCATACATACATACCAATAAGCTAGTAGCTAATCCTTTCTATCTATACACTGCCCTTTTGTGGTTGCAGTTGAGCATTGCATACATACACACCAATAGGCCAGTTGTTAATCCTTTCTATCTATATACTGCCCTCTTGTGGTTGTATCTGAACACTGCATACATGCTAGTAAGCCAGTAGCTAATCCTTTCTGTCTATACACTGTCCTCTTAAGGTTGCATCTGAGAGCACTGCATACATACATATCAATAAGCCAGTAGTTAATCCTTTCTATCTATATACTGCCCTCTTGTGGCTGCATCTGAGCATTGCATACATACACACCAATAGGCCAGTAGCTAATCCTTTCTATCTATACACTGCCCTCTTGTGGTTGCATCTGAGCATTGCATACATACACACCAATAGGCCAGTAGCTAATCCTTTCTATCTATATACTGCCCTCTTGTGGCTGCATCTGAGCATTGCATACATACACACCAATAGGCCAGTAGCTAATCCTTTCTATCTATACACTGCCCTCTTGTGGTTGCATCTGAGCATTGCATACATACACACCAATAGACCAGTAGTTAGTCCTTCCTATCTATAAATGGTCCTCTTGTAGTTGCATTTGAGCATTGCATACATACATACCAATAATAAGCCAGTAGCTAATCCTTTCTATCTATACACTGTCCTCTTGTGGTTGCATCTGAGCACTGCATACATACACACCAATAGGCCAGTAGCTAATCCTTTCTATCTATTGTACTATACCATTATATTGTAATATTATTAGTAATATTACATGTAATATAAAATATTTAATTATAATATCATCATCATTAGTAGTATTATATTGTATTACATTATAATATTATAAATATATGTGTATACAATACATTATATTATATTGGGCCCCCGGTGGCGCAGTGGGTTAAACCGCCCCAGGGAGAGGCGGATGAGCTCCCTCTATCAGCTCCAGTTCCTCATGTGGGGACATGAGAGAAACCTCCCACAAGGGTGATAAAAACATCAAATAATCTGGGTGTCCCCTGGGCAACGTCCTTGCAGATGGCCAATTCTCACACACCAGAAGCGACTTGCAGTTTCTCAAGTCGCTCCTGACACGACAAACAAAAAAGTCACAAAATAAGATACTATCAAAGACTTCTAAATAAACAGTGACACTTCACCAGCAGAATGGGGTTGGACTGGATGGCCCATGAGGTCTCTTCCAACTCTTTGATGCTATGATTCTTTGATAGAAAGCCTGAGACAGAGCCAGCCTGTGGCCTTGGCACTCACCCGTTTGAGCATGATAATGCCCAGTCCAGCCACAGCCGTGAATTGGGTCGCAACCAGCATCATGAGGACGGCCACACCAGTGTTCAGCTTCAGGGCTGAGAGGCTCACGATCCAACCACTGCAAGCAAAGACGAGAAAAGAAGAAAATAGTACACTCTTGATATGTGTGCATTTCACAGTGACCACGACGGAGAAACAAATAAATATGCCAGGACAGAGCCCTCCTTCTAATCCAACCCATAACATAAGACAAACAATGTAGGGATGCAAGGATTTCGCCCCACCTGAAGCCCCAGCCGGGAATGCCGATGGCCTGCAGAACAAAAACCACGTCCTGTGCAAAGAAGATGAAGAAGAAGACGAAGAAGTTGAAAGAGCTGTCGCTCCTGGAAGAAAAGAAGGGAGCAATATTCACCAAAAAAAAAAAAAAAATTGGAGAAAGTATTGACAAAAATATTCATAAAAGTACTCAAGAAAATATTTCCTTCCCTGAGTTTAAAAAAAAAGACTTTTGGGTCTAAATACAGCTTTATTGAGATGGATGGTCATCTGTTGTGAGGACTTTGATGGTGTTTTCCTGCCTGGTAGCATTGGATTGGCCTGGATTGGCCTGGCTCGAGAGCAGTATGTGTGAAAAAGATCTTGGAGTCCTCGTGGACAACAAGTTAAACATGAGCCAACAATGTGATGTGGCGGCAAAAAAAGCCAATGGGATTTTGGCCTGCATCAATAGGAGCATAGTGTCTAGATCTAAGGAAGTAATGCTACCCCTCTATTCGGCTTTGGTTAGACCACATCTGGAATATTGTGTCCAATTCTGGGCACCACAATTCAAGAGAGATATTGACAAGCTGGCATGTGTCCAGAGGAGGGCGACTCAAATGATCAAGGGTCTGGAGAACAAGCCCTATGAGGAGCGGCTTAAGGAGCTGGGCATGTTTAGCCTGAAGAAGAGAAGGCTGAGAGGAGATATGATAGCCATGTATAAATATGTGAGAGGAAGTCACAGGGAGGAGGCAGCAAGCTTGTTTTCTGCTTCTCTGGAGACTAGGACATGAAACAATGGCTTCAAACTACAAGAAAGGAGATTCCATCTGAACATGAAGAAGAACTTCCTGACTGTGAGAGCTGTTCAGCAGTGGAACTCTCTGCCCCGGAGTGTGGTGGAGGCTCCTTCTTTGGAAGCTTTTAAACAGAGGCTGGATGGCCATCTGTCAGGGGTGATTTGAATGCAATATTCCTGCTTCTTGGCAGAATGGGGTTGGACTGGATGGCCCATGAGGTCTCTTCCAACTCTTTGATTCTATGATTCTATGGATTGCTCTTGAGATCTTTTCCAACTCTAGAAGTCTATGGGGATCCTTTTACATTGCTATATATAATCCAGATTATCTACTTTGAACTGGATTATATGACAATGTAGCGTCATATGATCCAGTTCAAAGCAGATAAAGCGGCTCAACTGCTTTGATAATCTGGATCATACGGCAGCGTAGGAGGAGAACACACCTGCAGTCAGTAGTAGGAGTTTGAAGCTCAATTTTAGGGAGAAGGGAGTGAACCTCCGGAGGTCTACGAGATCCTTTAAGGAGCATCATCAACAGCTCCTTGGAGCAAGGAATTTTTCCAGATTGCCTTAAAGAAGCAGTGGTCCACCCTCTCCTGAAAAAAACCAAGCCTAGACGCCGCCATGCCTAGTAACTATCGCCCAGTTTCAAACCTTCCATTTTTGGGCAAGGTGATTGAACGGACAGTGGCGGGGCAGCTACCGCAATTCTTAGATGAGACTGCGGGTTTGGACCCCTTTCAATCAGGCTTTCGTTCAGGTCATGGGACAGAGACTGTCTTGGTAGCTATTACTGACGAAATTCGTCGTCAGTTAGACCGAGGCAGATAAGCGCTATTGGTACTCTTGGGCCTCACAGCTGCATTCGACACCGTGGACCATGACTTGCTGATTCATCGATTGGCTCTGTCTGGTGTACGAGGTTTAGCCCTCAAATGGTTCAGTTCGTTCCTCCGGGACCGGAGACAGAGAGTGGAGTGGTGAGGCCAAAGCTCCGAGAGCTCCTGCCTTTGCTGTGGAGTGAGTTCCCCAGGGTGCTCTCCTCTCGCCCCTGTTATTTAACATCTACGTCCGACCACTTGCTGGACTGGTGCGGAGCTTTGGCAGAGAGTGCTACCAGTATGCAGATTATACCCAGCTACTCTTGAGTCTCGAACCTGGGACAACCGTGATTCCTGAGAACTTTAGGCTGTGTTTGGAAGCAGTGATGAGTTGGCTACGAGCGAGCAGACTCAAAGTGAATCCTGCAAAAAATGAGATACTCTGGCCCGGCCAGCCGCCAGAATTAATCCAGTCTCTGCCTGATTTTGATGGGGAAGCTCTGGTTCCGTCTGCCATCTGTTAAAAGCCTTGGGGTTGTGTTGGACTCATCGCTGACGATGGAGGCCCAGATCACTGCCATAAGTAAGCAGGCCTTTTTTCATCTTCGCCAGGCAAGCCAAGAAGGAAGCGTCTTCTGGTTTCCTGGCCACAGTCTGCATCTGCAGTAATCTTTGCACCTAGAAATACAAAGTCTGTCACTGCCTCCACGTTTTCTCCCTCTATTTCCCAGTTGTCAATCATTCTTGTTGCCATAATCTTGGTTTTTTTGATGTTTAGCTGCAACCCAGCTTTTGCGCTTTCTTCTTTCCCCTTGATTAGAAGGCTCCTCAGCTCCTCCTCGCTTTCGGCCATCAGAGTGGTGTCATCTGCATATCTGAGGTTGTTAATGTTTCTTCCAGCAATTTTCACCCCAGCTTTGCATTCATCCAGCCCCGCACATCCTCGCATGATGTGTTCTGCATACAAGTTAAAAAGGTTGGGTGAGAGGATGCAGCCTTGCCGTACGCCTTTCCCAATCTTGAACCAGTCTGTTGTTCCATGGTCAGTTCTGCCTGTTGCTCCTTGGTCCTTGTACAGATTCCTCAGGAGAGAGGGAAGGGGGCTTGGGATGCCCATCCCACCAAGAACATGCCACAGTTTATTATGATCCACACAGTCAAAGGCTTTAGAATAGTCAATGAAGCAGAAGTAGATGTTTTTCTGAAACTCCCTGCCTTTCTCCATTATCCAGCGGATATTGGCAATCTGGTCTCTCGTTCCTCTGCCTTTTCTAAACCCAGCTTGAACATCTGGCATCTCTCGCTCCATGTATTGCTGGAGTCTTCCTTGCAGGATCTTGAGCATTACCTTACTGGCATGAGAAATAAGGGCCACTGTACGGAAGTTTGAGCAGTCTTTCGCATTTCCCTTTTTTGGTGTGGGGATATAAGTTGATTTTTTCCAGTCTGATGGCCATTCTTGTGTTTTCCATATTTGCTGGCATATGGCATGCATCACCTTGACAGCATCATCTTTTAAGATTTTAAACAGTTCAGCTGGGATCCCGTCATCTCCTGCTGCCTTGTTGTTAGCAATGCTTCTTAAGGCCCATTCAACCTCACTCCTCAGGATGTCTGGTTCTAATTCATTCACCATACCGTCAAAACTATCCTCAATATTATTATCCTTCCTATACAGATCTTCTGTATAGTCTCGCCACCTTCTCTTGATCTCTTCAGCTTCTGTTAGGTCCCTGCCATCTTTGTTTCTTATCATGCCAATTTTTGCCTGAAATTTACCTCCAATGTTTCTAATTTTCTGGAAGAGGTCTCTTGTCCTTCCTATTCTGTTGTCTTCTTCCACTTCCATGCATTGCTTATTTAAAAATAGTTCCTTATCTCTTCTGGCTAACCTCTGGAATTGCGCATATAACTGGGCATATCTCCCCTTATCACTGTTTCCTTTTGCTTTCCTCCTTTGAAAGATGCTACGCTCTACAAAAAGAGAGAAGGATCAACACTATTATATATATATATACATACTGCTATGAACAAGAATGGAAGTCACATGTACACCTTTTTTATTATTTTATTTTATTCTCTCTTTTCTTCTTTCCTACGATCCTATCAGTGCACTGTTCTCCCACTTTCCATGTGAAAACATATATCATTCTATTTTTATTTTTTATTTTTTCCTTAACTATATTTTTATTTGTATTAATGATTCTTCTTTCTTTTAATATTAATTAATTAAAATATATATTTTTAAATAAGCAGATAAGCTGGATTTTATACAGCAGTGTAGAAGGGGCCTGAGTCTACACTGCCATTTAAAATCCAGAATATCTGCTTTGAACAGGAGTTTCTAAAAGAGGCCAGAAACTCCACTCGATCTGTTGGACTACAACTCCCTTCGCCCACAGCCTGCTTTTAATCGACGTACTTGAAGGCCTTGTACATGGGCCGATACCAGCAGAGGAAGGAACACGGGGTGAAGATCAAGGTCCAGAGGATGGAAAGGCCGAACCCGGAGCCACCGGAGGTGTCCACGCAGAACTGCTGACAGAAATAAAGTATATCTGCACCTTTCTGTGAGGCAGAGAGTGTGACTCAAGGCAGCCATTTATAAATAACTAGCTTTACCCGCCACGCGTTGCTGTGGCCAACCTTCTCTCCCTCTTTCTCTCCTTCTTTCACTCCTTCCTTCATTTCCTTTTCTTCTTTCCTTTCTTCCTTCTCTACCTGTTTACTTCCTTCCTTAGCTTTTTGCTCCCATCCTTCCTTCTCTTTTTCTTTCCTTCCCTCCCTCTTTCTTTCCTTCTTTCTCTTCTTCCTTTGCTCCTTTTCCTCCCTTTTTCTTTTTTCTTTCCTTCTTCCTTCTCTTCCTCTTTCCTTCCTCCTCCCTTTTTATTTTCCTTCCTCTTTCTCTCCTTTCTTCCCTCTCTATCTCTTTCCTTCCTTCCTTCCTTCCTTCCTTCGCTCTTGACTTCCAGACTTCCTTTTCTTTCTTCCTTTTCTTTCCTCCCTTTCTCTTCTTCCTTTGCTTTTCCCCCTCTCTTCCCCTTCCCAAATTCCCCTTCCTTCCTCCCTTTTGACCTCCTTCCCCTTCCCTTTCTTCTTCTTTTCCCTTTCTTTCCTTCCTCCTTCCTTCCTTCCTCCCTTCTTTCCCATCCTCCTTCTCTCTCTGTATTCTTTCTTTCCTACCTTTCTTCTTTCATATACCTTCTCAACTTCTCCTTCCTTCCTTCATACACCTTCCCTCCCTTCCCTCCTTCCTTCCTTTTCTTTCCTTCCTTCCTTCCTTTCTCCCTTCTTTCCCATCCTCCTTCTCTCTCTGTAGTCTTTCTTTCCTACCTTTCTTCTTTCATATACCTTCTCAACTTCCCTCCCTCCCTCCCTTCCTTTCCTTCCTTCCTTTCTCCCTTCTTTCCCATCCTCCTTCTCTCTCTGTATTCTTTCTTTCCTACCTTTCTTCTTTCATATACCTTCTCAACTTCCCTCCCTCCCTTCCTTCCTTCCTTTCCTTCCTTCCTTTCTCCGTTCGCGCAGCATCCTGGCCCCCAGCGAGCAGGCCGCGTTCTAGAACTACAGTTCCCAGAGTGCATTGCGTGTGTACTTCCTCCCCTGGGCACTGCACATGCTCAGTTGGTTTTTGTAATTGTGAGTTTGTTGAAATGTTGTTTGGAATTTTGATGAGTGTTGTGCATACCTTGTGGGTTGAGGTATGTGCACGGCAAATTTGGTGAGTTTTCGTCGGGGTTTTTTCGCGTTTTGCTGTCCCGTTGAACACCCTTTCCATTTTTATATATATAGATAGAAGCGTTCATAATTCTCAGCCAAGAGCTCATAAAACCTAAATTTTCCGACTGTGCCTGTTATACCCATCACTCCCTGCTTTCATCTTGTAATTTAATCTCATTTTACCAAGCTTATTAATCAAGTTTTACTGTGTTTAAATTTATTTTTAGTTATAAGTATTACAGCAAAGTAAAACACAAAGAAGAAGAAAATACCATCAAAATAAATACATGAAATAACAAAATAAAATAAACAATAACAAAATAACATGATAGAGAAATAGAACACAGTGGGCGGGCCAAATGCACCAGGATAAAATTCATATACACATATACACAAATATATACACACACAAAACACATATATACAGACTGTGCCACAGCAACACATGGCAGGGGATGGCTAGTAATATAATATAATATAATGTATCATCCAGTATCAGCCACTTATTGAGGTTCTGGGTTTCAGCCTGCCACTTTTGGACTCTCATTTGCTGAGGTGTTCCGGCAAGTATCTCTGTAGATCTTAGGAAGCTATTTTTTTTTTAAAAAAAAATGAATCAGCTGTTTTCCCTGTAGTAGGCAGTAAGAGCACCTAAAGTTTTGGAGAACTTCTGTCCAATCATTTCAAAGCTCCCTGCTTGGGCAGTGATGGCACGATCGTGAGCATAGATGAAGCTCTTTGTCCCTTCTGGCAGTGGCTGGTCATTTGTGTAAATGTTGAACATTGATGGTGCAAGCAAGCTCCCCTTATGGCTTTAAAATAGCTCTTCTACACTATTATATAATCTACACATTATATAATATGGATTATCAAAGCAAATAATCCACATTATCTGATGTGAACTGGAATATATGAGTCTAAGGTAAAAGGTAAACGTAGTTCCCTGACATTAAGTCCAGTCGTGTCCAACTCTGGGGGTTAGTGCTCATCTCCATTTCAAAGCCGAAGCGCCGGCTTTGTCCGTAGACACCTCCAAGGTCATGTGGCCGGTATGACTGCAAAGAGCGCCGTTACTTTCCCACCGGAGTGGTACCTATTGATCTACTCACATTTGCATGTTTTCGAACTGCTAGGTTGGCAGAAGCAATCATCATTTGCATGTTTTCGAACTGCTAGGTTGGCAGAAGCAATCATCATCATACATTTTATTTATTATGTAAACAATATACATTCTTTCATGAGCTCAGCTTGCTGTGGAATCAGACATGGGTCTATTTTTTCCATAATTCTATGCAAAATAAGTCTCTCCAGTACTTTGTAAAGATGGCACAACAGGGAGATTGATCTAAAATTGTTATTATTATTATTTCATTATTGTTATTGTTATTATTATTATTATCATCATCATCATCATCATCTATAGCCTTTTGGGTTATTATGGTCTTTGCCTGATTTCAAAATGGCTATTTTAAAGCCATAAGGGGAGCCTGCTTGCATCATCAATGTTCAACATTTACACAAATGACCAGCCACTGCCAGAAGGGACAAAGAGCTTCATCTATGCTGACGATCGTGTCATCACTGCCCAAGCAGGGAACGTTGAAATGATTGAACAGAAGTTCTCCAAAACTTTAGGTGCTCTTACTGCCTACCACAGGAAAAACCAGCTGATTCCTTTTTTAAAAAAAAGATCTACAGAGATACTCGCCGGAACACCTCAGCAAGTGAGAGTCCAAAAGTGGCAGGCTGAAACCTGGAACCTCAATCAGTGGCTGATACTGGATGAGAAACTCTCTCCTGGGCACACAGAAGAGTGGATGACCTGGAAGGTACTGAACAGGCTGTGCCACAAAGTGGAGTCCACGGCATGCGAGTGTGGAGAAGAGCAAACCATAGACCACTTACTACAATGCAAAGTCTAAAGTACAAAGGACGAATGGGAACCAAGTTAGCCTATTTAGGCCCTTCTACACTATTATATAATCTACACATTATATAATGTGGATTATCAAAGCAGATAATCCACACTATCTGATTTGAACTGGATTATATGAGTCTACATTGCCATATAACCCAGTTCAAAGAAGATAATTTGGATTTTATTTGGCCTAGGATGAACCCAGAACCTTCTTGAGACAAAAATTGGCATTCATTCAGTGGCAGTCCTTTTCTCCAAGGGCTTACTTACCCATCCAGAGGTAGTACATCGTAGTGACTGTTTTCTGGGATTCCACCGGAATCTCCACCGGGATGTCCTGATAGAAACACGGTTTCACCGGACAGAAGGATGGCAGAGGTGGCCAATTGTTCGGTCTGGCTGTAAGATGAAAACAGAGACAGAAAGTCAAGTAAACAGGTGACTCCAGGGAGAGCATTTTATGTTGAACCAAAATAATAATAATAATAATAATAATAATAATAATAATAATAAAAAACACCACTTGGGAAGATTCCAACGTATGATCCAACACAACAGCCAGCAGAGTGATCTTGTCTGCTGTGGACTCATCTTGTTGTGTTTCTAATAATAATAATAATAATAATAATAATAATAATAATAATAACAACAACAACAATAATCATAGGCGCTTTTAACCCTTTTAGATGTGTTTTGAAGGACTAGAAAGCCACGAAATAAACCCTGGGAAATATAAACAGGACCGTGGTGTCGCAACGGCTTAAGCTGTTGAGCCGCTGAACTTGTTGACCTCAAGGTTGGCAGTTCAAATCCGTGAATTGGGGTGAGCTCCTGACGTTAGCCCCAGCTCCTACCAACCTAGCAATTAGAAAGCATGCAAATGTGAGCAGATCAATAAAGTACAGCCTCGGCAGGAAGGCAAACGGCACTCCATGCAGTCATGCCTGCCACACAACCCAGGAGGTGTCTATGGGCAATGCCGGCTCCTCGGCTTGGAAATGGAGATGAGTACTTCCCCAGAGATGGAGTTGAGTACCGTCTCCAGGAGCTGGAGATGAAAGGAGAAGCTTTTGCCTTGGTCTGTGAATTTCTGTCTCATTATATCAAGACACTGAAAGTTTGCCTATCTTTGTATATATACTGTAATCCACTCAGTATAATTATTATTATTATTATTATTATTATATTTTACTGACAAAAAATCACAACATGTTACAGCAACGAGATCTATAGGCTGGATTTCGTATCACAAAATCACAAGTCGAACACTTCCCAAGCGTCTAGGACTGTGTGAATTATTATTATTATTATTGTTATTATTATTATTACTATTATTAACACAAGATGAGTCCACGGCATTATTATTATTATTATTATTATTATTACTAGCCGTCCCCTGCCACGCGTTGCTGTGGCCCACATGTCGGTTCTATGTGGGAGCTTTGGCCCAATTCTATCGTTGATGGGGTTCAGAATGCTCTGTGATTGTAGGTGAACTACAAATCCCAGCAACTACAATTCCCAAATGTCAAGATTCTATTTTCCCCAAACTCCACCAGTGTTCACATTTGGGCAGATTGAGTATTCATGTAGTTTGGTCGAGATCCATCATTGTTTGAGTCCACAGTCCTCTCTGGATGTAGCTGAACTACAACTCCAAAACCAAAGGACACTGCCCACCAAACCCTTCCAGTATTTTGTGTTGATCATGAGAGAACTGTGTGCCAGGTTTGGTTCAATTCCATCGTTGGTGGGGTTCAGAATGCTCTTTGATTGTAGGTGAACTATAAATCCCAGCAACTACAACTCCCAAATGACAAAATCAATTTTTTTGAGTGAAGGACATACATTGGGTGGTTAGGTGTCTTGTGTCCAAATTTGGTGTCAATTCGTCCAGTGGTTTTTGAGTTATGTTAAACCCACAAATGAACATTACATTTTTATATAGATTATTGTTGTTGTTGTTGTTGTTGTTGTTATTATTATTATTATTATCATTATTATATTTTACTGACACAAAACCACACTATGTCACAGCAACAAGATCTATAGGCTGGATTTCGTATCACAAAATCACAAGTCAAACACTTCCCAAGTGTCTAGGACTGTGTGAAGTATTATTATTATTATTATTATTATTATTATTAGAAACAGAAGATGAGTCCACAGCATCATCATCATCACCATCACCATCACCATTATTATTATTATTATTATTATTATTATTATTATTATTATTATTATTAGGCATGGGCAATCCATGGTTCTA